ATACAGTAATATTCATTCTCTCTGTAACGATACCGTGTCTTTACTTATGCTCTTTCATCTAGACACTCACGACACTAAGTCTCTTAGGTAATCGTATCGGAGATGTTGGAGCACAGCATCTTAGTGATGCACTACGACATAATACAGTAATGCTCATTCTTTCTGCATCTGTATCGTGTCTTTACTCACGCTCTTTTATCTAGACACTTACGACACTGAATCTGGAAAACAATTCAATCGGAGATGTTGGAGCACAGCATTTAAGCGATGCATTACGCCATAATGCAGTAATAGTCATTATCACTTCATACATATCGTGTCTTTACTTACGATCTTTCATCTAGACACTCACGACACTAAATCTTGATAAGAATCAGATCAGAGATGTCGGTGCAAAGTATTTGATTGATGCATTACGGTACAATACGGTAATTCTTATTCATTCTTGATTCATATGATGTCTTTATTTGTGCTCTCCCATTTAGACACTGACTACGCTGTGTATGGATGAAAGATCAGTTAATGCCGACGTTAGACATGAAATTAAGGAAATCGTTGAGCGCAATAAAAACGGGGTGAACAATAAATGCGTGTGACGATATCAACATATATTGCAAGGACGAATATGCATCTTGTGTTGTAGTTTTTATCAAAATCGAAAATAAAAGTGTTTGTTTTTTTACTCGATTTGTATGGTGCGGATAATTTTTGCGTAACGTCCAAGAATGTGAAACTAAAAGATTCTGCCGGATGATTCAGAATGCGAAAAGTTTTGTTTGATAACGTTGAACCATAAAATATTAAGTAACTAAGGATGATGAGATACAAAGATTGTGTGTTCACTATTGCAGAATCCCTTAAGCTTTTGTATTTATATAGCTGAATCATCAAGAATCTATCGAGATTAAAGGAGAAGTCAGTACGGAACGATTTTGTAGATATAAATGTATAATATCATTCTAACATCAAATTTGACTGCATTCTGTTGAAAATAAAAGAAGCACAATTTGTTGTTCGTTAAAGTGAACTAATATAAATCTCCCAATGTGAAGCATGAATCTGCGTCTATAGATAACTTCGATTGCTTTGTGATGACCAATAATTGAATAAGATATGGAAAAGTTTAACATTACATCTATCAACCATTAGTTCTACTAAAATACCATCTTTTCAATGATAAAGAAAGGCCTCCTATGGTACTACTACATGAAGTGAATGTAACTTCCTCAATTTTGAAGAAGATATTGTTCTCATTAAATCTAGTTCTACTACTATTCTAATTCTTATATTGGTGGGAGAGAAAACATGAATATTGATTCTATTTCGTACTGAGAATGTAAGGGATATTTTGCAAAAGAATCGTTTTGAGATGCTCTACAAAATAATATCCATAATTTTCTAAGACATAATTCAAAAGAAAAGTCTAATGTGAATAATTGTGTAGAATAACACGTTACTTGAAGCGTACTTTTCGAAAATGATAAGTTTGAACAAACAAATATTGACAAAAATATCATTAAAATTATATTTATCATTGTGCTTTTTCTTCCGACATTATAGATAAAATATAAAAAAAGTTCTTATAACGACATATGTTTAGTGACATATTGTTATTGCATCATCAAATGTAATTCTATGTAATGGATCTTATTTAAAGACAAAGGAAAAGTAAAAAGTATGTGAAAGATAGATATCAGTTTGCACTTGAGACAACCTTTGGAAAAAAATATATATCTGATGGTATCTAAACGTGTTATGAAAGAACTAAAAGCTCTTGAAGATGGTTTAGAATATTGTAGTGCTACGATGATTGATGATGATATATTTCATTGGCAGGTATTTCTTATAGGTCCTGAAGATAGTCCATATGAAGGTGGCAAATTTCGTCTTGATATTAAAATTCCACGTGATTTTCCACTTAGTCCACCAAAAATTCGTTTTAAAACAAAAATTTATCATCCGAATATTCATTTAACTGGTGATATATGTATTAATATTTTACAATTTCAATGGAATGCAACATGGTCAATAGAAAGTCTTTTATCTGGCATACGTTCATTATTAACTGATGCTAATTCTGATGATCCATACAATGCACGAGCTGCATTATATTATCGAGAAAATCGTGAAAAATTCGATGAAATAGCAAGATGGTGGACAAAAAAATATGCTACATTTTGATTATATAATAATCATGTATAACACAATTTTTAAATCTGTTAAATAAAAAATAATATTTTTATTTATTTCAATATTTTTATTTTTATCAAAGCCAAATTTTTAAATCATTTCCATTTTTTTCAGCGCGAAATATCCTATTTGACGATCTTTTACCTAAGATTGTATTTCGTTTTAACCATTCCCGTGTATCACGTGCCATTGCAACACCTTCAATTTCTTTTTCCATTTTAATTCGATCAATATAATCTTCATCTAAATAATCCGGAATATCTTCTAATACCATTTCAAGATGAATTAAATGTTTCATATGCATAAGACATAAATTAACAACTTCAGCCGTATTACAATACCAATCAATTTTAACTGATAATAACGTTAATGATGGAATTAAATGTGCAAGTTCTGAAACAAATTTTTCATCAATATCACCTTCTGTATATAAATAACATTTTTTAATTTGTTTTAAATAATTTTTAAGTGGACGAAGAAAATTTAAAACTAAATCAGTCATATTTTCAACCCAATAAAGAAAAAATCCAATTGATTGAAGATTAGGTGATCGACAAATAAGTTGTTCAACAAATGTAACTAAAAATATATTATTCATACTTGGAAATTCACCTAAAAGATCGAGGCTTCGTATTTGTGAAAATATAAGATGATCTGGTAATGTTAATGATTTTGGAAATGTTGATAAAACTTTATCATCATCAACGAAAAAATCACTATATAATGTTAATTCATGACTACGTAAAAGTTTGCTTGCTAATTGTGAACCAGTCATTCTATGTAAATCTTGAATATCAAGTTCCAGAGTTAACTATAATAAAAGAATTCAATAGTAACATTTCTAAATAAAGAAGAAGTATACTTACATCACTTTTGATATTGCTTGTTATATCATTGTTGTAACATAGTTGAATATCAACTGGTAAATTGGAAGCATGAGAAGCATTTGCAGCAATTCGTACAAAATCAATTTCCGAATAATTTGATGATTTTAAAGAACATTTAATTAAACAAGTTAAGTCAATAAGATAATGAAATTCAGCAAATAAATTACGCCATCTTTCTTTTTTAATATAATCTGAATTAGCAAGTTTATCTTGAGTTACTTCAGATTTTAATGTACATGATAAATGTTGTAAATTGGGTAGACTGTTTAATATCGATAGAAATTGATTGAATGATAATACTTCTGGTTGCCATTTAGCTTGAAAACGAAAATCGAGTAATGATAAACATTGAATCTTGCGTTCTTTATATAAAATGTCATAACTAAATAATAGATAAGTTTAATTTCAAACAACAGCTTATAGAAATCTTATTTAAGGTCATACTGACCGATGTTTTCATAATAAAATATCAAGAATTTAAATGAAAACTATTCTTAAGGGATTATTTATAAAATATCGAGGTACAATCAACGTTTCTCGTCAATAACAAGAAATGCACTCAAATTGAAGAGAAACAGGAAAGAATAAAGGAAATAATATTATCGTCACTCTAAATAATTCGAAAAGTACATCTTTTTTTTGTTTGGTTCTATACCCCCATATGAAAGTAAATATAGAAAAATCTGTATATATAAACTACATACAGTATTGAAAGATAAGTAAAAAAACGATATCCAAAAATAAGAACATATCGTCTTACATCATGATTTGTTCCGAAGAACTACTTATTCAATAAAATAACTTACAGATTTGAGGTCAATACTGTTAATTCTTTCATATTAACATTTAAATATTGTAAACGATCAAAACCAGTAAAAATTTCAAAAAGATCATCGGTATTTTCAATTTCTAATGTTAAATGTGTAATTGTTTCATTATATATTGGTGTTAATTTTAAATAACCCGTTCCCGTAAATATTAATTTTTCTAATATTGAAACATCACGTTTTCGACGTTTTGGAATATGATCAAAATAAATAAAATTATCTGTTAACATTTGTGTTATAAGACTACATAATGTTGATTCATTTTTATTTTTAACAAATGTTATTTTTAATTCTTTAAGATTTTTTAATATTGATATTAAAGGTAAAAAAAGATCTAATTCATCATCATAATAATCAATAAGTGTTAAACGTTGTAAATTCGGTAATAATTGTATAAATGGTTCAATTTGTTTTCGAAATAAAGTTAATTGTCTTACAGATGGTGCAGCATTTGAAAGAATTATTGAATTGACTTTATTTCCAAAACTTGATCGGATCATTTTACAAAAGAAATAAAATTGTCGTAAATTTAAACCACGTAAATCAATATTTTGTCGATATTGATTTATTGTACAATTTAAACGATAATTTAAATCATTAAATGCTTTGATAATATGAAATGAACTTAAATATGAACAGATAATTAATAAAAGTTCGTCAGGTAGTTGCTCAAACGGCATAGGTAATATATTTTTACTCGACAATGATTCTTTATGACGTATTGGAATAGAATTGACCTTGAAACTGAAGCGGGAACTGAAAAAAAAAAGGAAAAAACTAGATATTACCTCGATAATTGTGTTTTGGATGTATGTTATGAAAACAAAAAAACAACAGTGACGATAATATAACCTTGAACTGGAAAAAACAAGATGTTCTAACCAATTCTTTTTCTTTGTAGAATTATTATTTGTTAGAAAATATCGTAAAAAATCGTTCGAAGATTCATAGATTGACGATTATCATTGTATAGGAACAGTACATTTTTTTTTGTGTAGAAGTCAGTGCACTTCTAGTCACCTATGCTCGAGAAAAAAATAAGCGGGGTAATCTTAAAGCAGAAAGGAAAAAAACGTGCTGCGTAATATTACTAGCGTCTTATTTGATGTAAAAGCATGTGAGATGCAAAACAAGATTGTTTTTGCTATAAAAAAAAAAACTTGTTTTTATGACAATTTTCTTTTTTTTTCTTAAAAAATTTATTAGTTTTTATTGATCCATCATCAATCGTAGAAAATAGATTTATGTTAAATTATTTGATGAATAAAAAGATAATTATTATTTATTAATAATAACACTCCTCTTTTTCACAGGCATTAGGGTATTACATTATAAATATTAAAAAAAAGAGTTTTTCTTTGATATATAATAGCCTTAACAAACACGGTAGATTTTTGTTTGTCACATATACAAAAATATGATTGATCGATTATGATATATTTTATGAATTTTGAATGCAAAAAATTCTGTTATTTTATTAATTATGTATGTACATTAAAGTATCTGCTATATTTTGTATATCTGATTAGTAAAAATAAAAAACATATTTTATCTTTTAATTCTTTTTTAAAAATGAAAAATATAAATAAACAACAAATTAAGACATAATAATATCGTTCGATTGTGAATTATCATCGTTAGATGATGGAAGAAATAAACCATAATCAACTACTTCTAATGAACGAAAAAATTCTTCGAAATCGTTTAATGTCCATCGTGAACCATTTTGATTTTGTTGGTCATTGCTACTACTTTGTTCACTAACAAAAACTGGATCATTGAATGAGATGAGTAAATCAGTTGCAAGATCACCACCCAATCGTAAAAGACAAAGATGAATATAAACTATATTTTTTGCTTGTTCATTATATTTTGATACTTGTTGTCGACCGAATAAATACCAAGCTGAAGTTAATCTTTAGAAAATAAAATAGATTTTCATATATATATTCAAAATAAAATATCTTACCGTTGAACAATAAGTGAATTAATTGGAATTGATTGAATCTTATCAACAATATGATCTTGAGTATTTTGAGCATCATTAGCTTCAGCTAATGCATCGAAATGATATCTAAATTAAGAACAAAATTTTATTTGATTAAAATCAGAAATATTCATACTTAATAGCATTTTCATCTGATACTTCATTAACACGTTCAAGAATTTCAACAATTATACTTTGATCAGATTGAGCATGCATAAATACTTCTTGATTATTTGGAACAAGTCGAATGGAACTAAACAAAATCATTTATTTCAAATAGATATATTTAATATTTCTTTACCTAGCATCAATCAATCCATCGGGTAAAAATGCTTGAATAGCACCACCAAATAAAGGACGTTTAATTCGTGTCATATCGAATAAAAATTTAAAATAAATATCTAAAAAAAACCACACCTTTTCAATCGAACTAAATTCTCGTTCTAACATAAATCTACGAATGATTCAACAAAACAAAAAAATTAAGTTTTTATGAGTTCTTGTTGTTGTTGATGTTCTTTTTCTTGTTGTCGTTTTTTTAATTTTTCATGATATGCTTCAAATACAGATTCGGAACCAGGTTTTACATTTTGAATTTCACGACGAATATTAACTAAACGATCTCGTGTATTATATGTATAATTACGAAGAATAACAAATGTTGTTAAACCAGTTACAACAATAGTACCAATACCAATAAATATATTTCGATGTTTAGCATACATATGTCCAGAAAGAATCGAGAGAGCATCTCGCTCACCATTAGCTAATGTTTGTCGAGAAAGACGCATAATATTCGAGGAAAAAGGTTTATATCTGAATCATAGAATTTCAAACATATTGTGTAATTATTTCGCAAGAATAGAAAAAAAAGGAGTCATGACATCATATCTATTGTTGTAAAGATTTTTATTTGAATTCATGTTCCTGTGAAATAACTAGGAAAAAAAATAAGCAATTATTTTATTAATATTCAAGGACAATATTAATCGTATTAGATCTTCCACATGTTCATGAGTACAAAAAGGAAAGAAAAGAAAAAAAATTAGTCTATTGATTACTGCTAATGGTTCATGGTACAACCGATGACAATTACTTATCATGCCTCGTCATATGTTAACTATAGATGTCACTAGCAGATTACGAAAAGATCATTTTTCTACATGGATTTTGTTCGTGAATTCAATAGAATATACTAGTAGTAAAAATATATAAATTTGTTTCAAAAAATAAAATTAAGATGTTTTGTTCTCTAACATTAAAATCTGTTTGTCACTATCAATGTATGTCTTTACACAACATATAGATGATAGTGTAACTGATAAGCTTGTACTTTGTATCTACCTAAGAAATATGAGTATATGATTCGATTTCAAATTGTAATTTTATATATTTTACCAAAAGAAAATCAAATGTACATGAATATATATGACTTCAAGAAATAAAAATAGAAAAATAGATTTTTCATTCAAATTTCGTTTAGAAACAGTTTTTAAGTACATTTTTTTTATCAAAACAAAATAGGAGGTGATGAAAATAAAACACACCATTTGTTTTTGTGTTTTTTTTGGACTTTAATGCTATGCTATCTTCAATTGTTATCTACCTATATAGCAGTAAAGTTATAACTTCTAGTTGCATTTTTAACATTATCACTATTCGAACAACATGTTGTTGTGTTTGTGTTCGACAACATTTTTTTCGGTAGTGTTTTTGTTAAACTTATCTAGTCCAGTAAATGGATGGGGTGGTGATGGACATGCTCTCGTTGCTTCTATTGCTCAAACACTACTTAATGAGCAATCATTGACTTTTGTTCGTAATCATTTACCATGGTATACATCAGGAAATATAAGTATGTTAGCATCATGGCCCGATTATATTATTTATCCTGATACAAATCCTGTTGATTATCTTAATTGGCAATGGTCAAAACAATTACATTTTGCTGATACAAAAGATTGGGCATGTGTTTATGATCGAGAAAAAGATTGTAACTGGACTAGTACTAGTGGACAACAATGTGTTGATGGATCAATCCAAAATTATACAACAAGATTAGCTAATTCACAACTAGATGATATACAACGACAAGAAGCACTTAAATTTCTCGTACATTTCATTGGTGATGCACATCAACCATTACATGCTGGTTTTCATGGTGATCGTGGTGGTAACAGTATTCGAGGTAAATTCTTTGGAAAAGAAACAAATCTTCATTCATTATGGGATACTGTTATGATTGAACGTCGTATTACTCAAGATTTTCATGGTCAACCATCATTATATCTTCAGTATTTACTTACTCAAATGAAAACTCATTATGCACAAAATATATCTGACTGGACAAATTGTTCAACATCAGATGAATCACGTTATCTTGCATGTTCTGAATTATGGATTGTAGAAGATGCAAAACTCAATTGTGATCTTGTATATCGTGATGAAAATAATCAACCAATGAGTGTTTCAAAAGAATTTACTCTCGGGCAAACATATTATAATACACGAATGATTATTGTTGAACAACGATTAATTCAAGGTGGTGTAAGATTGGCAGCTGTAATTAACAAAATCACTGAATCAACTACTGATATTGACAAATCAAATAAGACCTGTTTTGCATCAATGTCAATTGTCATGATTCTTTTTGTTCATTCTATTCTAATTCTTATTTTATTAGGTTATACTTTTTTACGACGAAAAAGAACAATAGTAACACAAACACCCGTGTTTAGAGATAAGAACGAATATTTGACAATCGCTTAATTAATTCATTGATTTCATATAAAAACTAATAAATATTATTTTTTTTAATCATGCTATCCAATTTTTTTTTATTTTTGTCAATAATAAACATAAACGATATGCTCTTCAAATATGGTCTTAATTATATGTATTTTATTTTTCAAAAATAAGATAAAATAGTATTATGATTAGTCATAGTATTGTTGTCTGGTTATGGTATAGTAACGGATACATGAATTGCTATTCCATCATATGGTACACCACCACAGACTGCTCTTGGCCAATCATTATTTATAGCAGAACAGATACGTATATAATTGATAGCACGTGGTTCGATAAAACTATTAGCTTGTCTACAATTACCATCAAAGACATATTCAATTCTACTACCAATAACTATATCACCGACACAAGGAGAAACCCAAGTTCCATCTTGACGTCGAACATCTAGAGAATATGTTGTACCTGTCATACGTTCATTCCAACGTAGAACTATTTGCTTTGTAATACCGCCCGGTAAATAAAAAGCAAATTGATCTGCTACTCCATCATATTTTGCTTCAACAAAATCTTTCCATACTTGACTCGTTGAATAAAATAATCGGAATGCTGAAATATCACCTTTATCCAACAATATATTATTACCATCTGGACATATACCAGTATAGGTTGTTGCTAGTGTTGCACCAATACGATTTACAGAAATACATGGACCTATTGTAGATCCATCTTTTCGTACTACATCAATAGAATATTGATGTAAAGGAAGTTGATTCCAACGAATATCAATAGTGTTCAATGTTTGTAATGAACCATCTGGTCGAAATGCAATACGTTGCTTGAATGTATCTCTTCCAATCAGGCGTCCGGCACTATCAAAGATACCTTGATGAAATACATTAAAAACTTGGCCACGTCTCATAACGATAGAATTATGTCCATGACTTTGAACTAAACGTCCTGCTGAATTTCGCTGAGCAACTGAATGACTACGTACTGCACGTCTTCGAGTTAGATCGGCAATAGTTGGTGCCATCACGTATTGCATTGCATATTGACTGTCGAAGAATGCTGTACTAATAAAGAAGTAATATTGTCCTCGATACCAGAATACTTCAGGTGCTTCGTTGATTTTTTCATCAGTGGCAGGAATAGAAAAAGAAGCTGGTCCAGCGTTAGCCACTAGATTAGTTGGTGAAGAGAATGGAAATGCAGCTATATTATTTCCACCACTGAACCATGTATAAAAAAACCAACGATCATTTTCAGGACCAACAACAGCAGAATCGATTCGAACTGTCTTCAAACAACCTTCAGCGTTACAGCCTGCCGCAATTCTTCCCTTAGGAGCATTATTACCAAAATCCACAAGTGTAGGTTTATCGAAAATAAGATTTTGATCTACAGCTCTTGCAAAAAATGTAGTAACATCTTGTCCATTCGCTGGACACGCTGCACCTTTCAATACACGTTGAGCAGAGAAATATAAATCATAACCAGTACCCCGTTGTGAAAGATCAGGAGCCCAAATAAAACAGTAGTTATATTGAGGATCAGTAACCGAAGGATTATATATGATTTTCAAGTGAAAAGTGATTAGATCAGTAGATTGAAAGAATGGTAAATCAAGTGCATTAGAAGTACCAGTTAAAAAGAAAAGATCATCATTAACTGCTAAAATATCTGGATCAGCAAGTCCAGGCATAAGATGAGTTCGATGATAGAAGTCTGCACCTTGTTGATCACAAATCGTACCAAAAAAGCCTTCATCACATATGCATTGTGGTCCTTGACCTGACTCAATACAACGGCCATTATTGCAATTTAAGTCAGCACAGCTAGATGCCAATCGAGAATTAAATATACTGCCTTAAAAATGATACAGTTCTATATTATACAATACAATACAATCTATTCTTTAAACTGACCTGGATTTGTATCATTCTTCTTCGTCTCAATAATAACAATCAGAGCAGCAAAAACAAGGAAGAAGCTATGCTTCATATTTATGATCATATTTGCTAGAAGTATATAGGTGTATATATATATGCATAAAGCTTCTGTAATTTGTTATATGATACTTTATATATATACAGAATAAATCGATAGATTAACAAAGCCCTTTTTTTAATGGGGCAACAATAAATATGCCTATATGATATTATTTTCAAAATATTTATCAAACATAAGTGCAAACGTGATTAGTTTTTTTCTTCTATCAATGATAACTACAGATGAATATTAAGATTTCTTAAAAAGATACTTGCACGCACTCATACATATATTACAAATCAAATCTAATTATAAATTATACGTAGTTTCATTAATTGACTAATAATCATTTATATTTTCTGTAATTTTACAAGTAGCCCAAATGGTACTACGCTACATCGTGTTTTTGTTATCCATTCAATCTCTTTAGAAGCGTTTACATCCCCATTAACATCAAATGTATTCGGCTTTTGTTTGCATAGCAATACGACTGTAACATAATAGTTATTTCCATCCGACGCTATAAAACTGGAACGAGTGCTAAACTTTCGTTGACTGGCGCATTTGAGCGATGGAGAAGTCTCACAAAATGACGGTTTGGGATGTCCACTAATGAATTTTGTATTGTCATGACGCATGTCACCATCGAATGGAACAAATCGATTAGCTAAAATAAATGACAATAGATTCGATGATGTTCCATAATAGCTTGTTTGAAAAAGATTCCATTCTTTCTTGTACGCTTTATTCACATCTAGACCAAAACGAGTCCAACCATGCAATTCTATACACCAATTTCCACATTTTCCCTTTAAATCTGAAGGATTATGACATTTCATACAAAAACATTTGTCGTACTGTTCTGCAAAATAGCTTTTATGAAGATTAAATCGTGCAAGATATTCTTTGCAGAGCGGTTTTCTACATTGAAACAATGGCGTTACAGCAACAGGAGGAAGACGACTAAAAACGAATGAAATAGGACTATAATGAATAAATATAAGTAATTAACTTATGTACGTACGGTGGAGGAGGAGGAGCAAATGGTTTAGCTGGAGGTTTTATCGGATTAGCTGGTGGAACTGGTGGCTTGGGAGTAGCTGATGGTGGTAGTTTACCTAAACCATCAAAACTTATTGTAATATCAAGTATAGTTCACAAAAAGTGGATATGCATCTTTCTTAACTTCTATATTACGGTACGCATGTATAGATAACTTAAACACTTACCACGTTTCCACTGTCGATAAATATAGAACATCAAAGCAAATAATCCTCCACAAAAGATTATAACACCCAAAACTATAAAAGCGATTGCTACACCACTTAGACGATTACTTGATGGTTCTGATATCACTAAATTCAATAGTATATATGCGTTTCATAATTAATCAAAGTTAACAAAAAATATTATTACCCGTTGTCAACATTTTGTATTGCGATAGTGTCATGGTTTGAGGATGTATTGCTATTTTAGAATCATTATTCAAATGAGCATGAATTAATAAACTGCTTTGATTATTAAATTGTGTAACATTCTCGATGTCTGATGTATAGATTGATGGCATGAGTAATTTTAATGTGCACGTTCTTTGTTACAATATTTTCTTTGACTTCTGCGCTTGTCTTATCGACTCACTTAAAAGAAAACAACTACAGACATTTATTCATTCTTCAACTCAACTGCTTATCATAAAGACAACTGTAAGTTATCGCCGAAAGATTACTTCAATAAAATGCTGTATCATTTATTACCGTTTTTTGCATATATATGTTGGATTTTTCCGTATATCACAAAAAAATGAAAAAAATATTAATTATATAAAAACATTATAATGGTGAAGAAAAGCAAACGAAAATTTCATAAATAAGAATAATAGATATACTACTAGTTTTTAATTATTTCCATATATTTAGGGATTCTTATCATGCTTTATAAATGTACCGTCTGTAAAACATCGAAACGGTTTGACAATCCTGCGCCAAATGAAAATGCTTATTGTGATACTTGTAAACGTGTGAGATGTTTCACTTCTGCAACTCATACAACGGCAAAATCTAATCCATTGACTTCTTCTGTTGTGCGACCATTCGGAAGTCAAAATGGTCTCATTCGCTCGCCAAGTACAAAAATAATACGATCTTGTGATTATTTCAAATTGTGTCTTGAATATATGCTTTCTTTGGGATTTTCGAAAAGATTTTTCAATCGACAACAAAATCGATGTTATTGTGAAAAATGTTATTTGACTACTAGTAAAGATTTTTTTATAGAAGGAGGTTCAAAATATGTTATACCACGTGGGTGGGTTCGTTTTGGATTGTATGTTGATCAGGTACAAGCAGAAGTTGAAGATATATGGAATAAATGGGTTGTCAGTTATCATGGTACAAGTCCTGAGGCAGCGAAATCTATTATAGAACATCATCAATTTCTACTTCCAGGTGATCAATGTATTAGTGGATTTGTTATTAAAATACGTGATGGTCATATTCCAGGTAAATTTCAAGTATATACATCACCAAGCATTGCATATTCAGGTCATGATATCTACTGTCCATCTATTCAATTTCGTTCTAATACAGGACAATTATATAAAGCTAAAGTCGTACTTCAATGTCGTCAACAACCTCAAACATATACAATTCAGGCAGAAACTATTGATGCTCGTAGCAAACGTATATGTCCTATTATTCCGAATAGTGAACTGGAATATTTTACTGAAGTTCGATCATCTATAATACCTTATGGTTTACTTATTCGTGTCTTTCAATAAAATAAAAAGAAGTTCTCATGTAATTAATTATAAAGATTTGATATAGAAAGATATAAATTGAACAGTAATATTCGAAAAATGAAAAAGAGACTTCATAATTCGATGCTCCATATCGTTTGTTCTATCTTTATTTT